TATATATATATATATATATATAAACATCAGATCGGAAAAAAAAAACCCAGAAAATATACTACAGTAACTCAAGTGTTTGGAGTTTGAACAGAATGCTTAATTATTTAAACAAATTTTTAATGGACGTCTTTGCAGACTTGAATAATAGTACATGTTAGAAATCCAAGAGAAAATCAAAGAGAAAATTGAAGAACTTTTGTTTTCTATTTCATTTTGCAAAAATCCGTACATGCAGATTTGAGGCTATCTTATTTATATACATTTCCCATGCATACTAACTCTAAACGACACCTTATAGAGCCATTCATCTTAATGTTAAAATTGAGCTAAAACAACATCGTTCGAGTTAATAAAAGCGCGATTAGAAAAAGTGTGTAATTGATGTCTTCTTCTTTTCCTTCTTCTTCTTTATTTCTTCTTCTTTATTTCTTCATAGCATGGCAGTAGCTTGACCTCCTCGTTTAATATTCCAACAGCACCCCCTCAAGGTGAGCATGATTGGAACATCCTCAGCTTGGACATGAGAAACGCAGCGTGCTTAGCAGGTAAAATCTTCGTAAAAATCTCAGCCAACTGCAGCTTGGAGGAGATATGCATTGGCAAAACAAAACCTTCTTTGAATTTGTCTCTTACAAAATGACAGTCGATCTCAAGGTGTTTAGTTCGTTCATGAAACACAGGGTTGCCCGAAATGTGGAGTGCCGCTTTATTATCACACCATAGAGGAATTGGAAGAGTAAGGTCTATCCCAAAATCCTTGAGAATGAAACTAATCCATACCAATTCAGAGACAGTGGAGCTCATGGCACAATATTCGGCCTCGGCAGAGGACCTAGAAACTTTTTGTTGCTTCTTCATTTTCCAAGAAACAAGAGAGTCTCCAAGAAACACACAATAGCGTGTAACTGATCTATGAGTATCTTTGCATGATGCCCAATCAGCATCACAATAAGCATGGATGTTAAGAGAACCGGAGGTGGGAAAAAGCAAACCATGGGAAGAGGTCCCTTTGAGATATCTCAAAATATGCATGGCTGCCTCCCAATGTGATGTGCAAGGAGAATTGACAAATTGACTGATTTTAGTATAAATACATGGTGTATTGATGTATTTGTTATAATTGAGAATAATAAAAGGATCCCTCAGCCGCCGTGGACGTAGGTACATTGCCAAACCACGTAAATCTTGTGTGATTTACTTTTTTGTTTTTAATTCGTATGCTATATTGTCATCAACTCTCAACAAGTGGTACCAAAGCACCAGGTTGATTGGGCGACGGAGATGACAGGAGGATCGAAATTTGAGGTTTCGAAATTTGATGGTCATGGCAATTTCGGATTATGGCAGACGAGAGTAAAAGATTTATTGGTGCAGCAAGGAATTCAGAAAGGGCTGCGCGCAGAAAAGCCTAAGGGGATGGAAGACGATGATTGTGAAGATCTGTAGGAACGGGCGACCGGGACGATTCGGTTGTCCCTTGCAGATGAAGTTATGTATCACGTTATGTATCTCAAATCGGCGGACGAGATCTGGAAGAAACTGGAATCGCAGTTTATGTCAAAACCCTAACGAAAAAATTGTATCTGAAGCAAAAATTATACAGGCTGAAGATGCAGGAGGGGGCCGATTTAGGGCAACATGTGAATATCTTAAATCAGGTTGTCACGGATTTGGCTTCACTCGAAGTCCAGATTGAAGATGAAGACAAGACGATGATTTTGCTGTGTTCGTTACCTCCTTCTTACGAACATATGGTGACTACCCTTACATATGGGAAAGAGACGATCAAGACTGAGGAGATTACTTCAGCATTGTTGGCTCACAACCAGCGAAAACAGAAATCTGGAGAGTCATCTTCTAAAAGTGATAGCTTATATGTGAAGGGTAACCAGGATCGTGGAAGAAGACAGGGGCGGGATAATTTAGGAAATCGGAATTTGAGATCCAAGTTGCGAGACAAATCGCAGGGGAGGAAGACTGCGACGTGTTATAAATGCAAGGAAAAAGGGCACTTCAAACGGGATTGGCCAAACTGGAAGAAACAAACTGTTGATATGTCATCTAAGTCTGCGAATGTAGTACAAAATGAGGAATCTGATTGCAGTGATGGAGATATGTTATCTATTTCGACTGCGCAGTATGATGATGCTTGGATTCTCAATTCTGGATGTTCATATCATATAACGCCTAACAGAGAGTGGTTTGCTACTTATAAACCAGGTAACTCGGGTTCTGTTTTTCTTGGTGATGATCGATGCTGCGGTATTGTCGGTATTGGGGATGTCAAAATAAAGATGCATGATGGAACTGTTAGGATATTGCGTGATGTGAGACATATCCCTGAGTTGAAGAAGAATTTGATTTCTTTGGGTACTTTGCATAGAAACGGTTTCATTCCCAAGGCTGATGAGGATAGGGAAACCATTAAGATTGTGAAGGGTGCCTTGACTGTGATGAAGGGGAGGATCACTACAGGGAACATTTTCAAACTGTTGGGAAGTACAGTTGTAGGTGGAGCCCATTCTGTGGAGTCGTGTGAAGATAGCACGAAATTATGGCACATGCGTCTTGGACATGTTTGTTAGAGGTATGCTGTATAAGCTGTGTTTTGCAGATTCTATCAATTCTATTTTGATCTGGCAATCATGTTTTGGTCAAAGTACATATGTTTGCAGTTTATTTATTTATGCAATACATACTCCATGTCTTGTATTGAGATAGTGTGGTTCGAAGAGTTTCGAACAGAAAGATCACCTATCGGTTCCTTATAAGACTAAACTATTCATTCACAGTCTAGACTGGCAGTGAGACCCCACTTGGAAAAAGATTGTAGTGTATTTCAGATTCAGTTGGTCTTTGACTGAAGGATTACACTAGCACTTATGTTAAGTGTTGAACAGGACCGCAGAAGGCAAAGGTTATGAGACTCACTGACCGTA